CCCTCCCCCGGGCCCTGCGCCATCACCTCTGTCATCACCGTCGCCTCTGTCATCGCCTCTGTCATCAGCGTCACCTCTATCATCACCCGTGGATGCATGTGTTCCCGACGCAAAGAAATCGTCGTCGTCGCTGGATGTGCTGTCGAACAAGAAGTCACCCTCGTCCCAACGCATGCGGGCCCTGCGAATGCCACCATCCGTCCGCTGTCGCCGAGTACGAGGAGCGGAACCCGCATCGCCACGTGTACGTCCTCCGACACCTGCTCGTCCACGACCGCCACGTCCCCGACCACCAGCCCTGCGTCGCCTCCTTTCCGACTCCGCCACCCGACGCTCGGCTCCCATGTGGGAAATGACGCGCATCCTCTCTCTGGCAAGGCTCAACTCCTCCTCGGTCACCTTCGCCAGAACACCGGTGCCTCTGACGAGCTGCTGGTCCACGGCTGCCTCGTCCTCCACGGCCTGCCAATAATGCACCCATTTCCCGAAGACGACGGGCCTCTCTCCAACACCATCGTCGCACAACGAAGGTCGATCGAGTAGCCTGAGGTTCCAGTGGCACCGCACAAGCTTCTCAGCCCGGGGAACCTCCAACCTGTTGTGAGACTTCGAATGAATGAAGCTCCAACGAGACCACGCTCTCACGCACGGTGAGGCGGTCGCCCATATACGAAGGATCCTGCCTGCAAACACGGCCGTGTGAGGGAACTTCGCCTTCTTTGAGGACCAAAAACTGGCAGGGTGATCAAAGATATCCGCAGCTCGCCGCATGGTGAGCTCATCGAAAGGGGGCTCCCTCGTGCGGAGCTTGGCGACCTCTCGCTGGACCTCCCGGTGCTGCGGCGAATCCTCCGGGTAGCCGAACTGGACAAGGGCCTCGACCAAGGCCTGCTGCACCTCCGCATCGTCACAAAGCGTCGCGTCCCGGAACTCTGGATCTAGCAGCATGGCTGCCGTGTGGGCGGGGGTCTTGAACATGGTGCGCCGCCTGTGGAACACCTCCACAATAGCGTCCTGCTGCTCCCGATCAATGTCACGACATGCGGATAAACAAGATGCAATAATTTCCTCGTAACGTCGCAGAATCTTGCTGATCTGGCGTGTGTCGCTGTCTACCAACTTCAGCATGCCCATGATGGGCTCTAGCATCTTGCACAGAGCTCTCAAATCCTCCCACCATGGAGGGGAGCTGATACATGCAGTGACCTCCGCTGCATCCTTGCGGATCTTGCTGGTCGACCAAACAGTCTCGCGCCAGCGATCGTCGGCCACAACATCTGTCAATGCGGCCCGCAGTGCCACCAGCCTCTCCTCCATCATGATGATGTTCGTGCCGAAACGCGTCTCCGCCGGTAGCAGAAGAGTCTTCGTCGAGTGCGCCTCAAGAACCTCTCTCGCATGTCCATGGCGCTTGAAGAACCTTGTAACCAGCCTCGCTTGAGAAATGCGGAAAGCCACCCAATCAATCCCGCCGATGTCCTCGAGAATGAGATCCATGATGTGGGCGACGCAAGGAATCCAGAAGATGTGTTTCACGCTTTCATCTTTTTGGAATACCTCCATCGCCGCGACGTTCACCCCGGCGGAGTCCGTCACGAACGCCGTGATGTCGCTCAATTGAACGTCCATGGACTTCACCCTTTTCAACCATGCGTTCGCGAGGGCACCGGCGTCCTTTTTGCCACGCATGACGTCGGTGGACACATACACCACCCCGATCTCTGTACCAATAAGGTAGTTGCACAACGTCTGACCACGGATGTTGGTCCAACCATCGGTCATGATTGTGCAACCGGTCTCTCTCGACGTGTCAAGCACTGGCCGAACACACTTCTGGACCTCACCATCCAGCTCGTCCAAAAGGGTCGTGCGCAGCATGTGGTACGAGGGAAGTCTAGGCGCGGGCGCCCCTGGAACCCCCGGCGGGATTATGATCGTGAACATGCGTTTGAAGCTTTCAAGCTTCGTGCTGTTGAACGGCATCCCGCTCTCGACGATGAACCGCATGATTTGCAGATGTCATGCGCGCTCCAAAGGGTCCGAATAATATGACGTGACGGCTTGCTGCCTGTAAGTGCCCC